TTTCAGTTTGTTTTTTTTTTTTGTTTTGTATTGTTAATGTGCTCGTTTATCTTTTGTTTACTCCTATTCTTTTGTTGCAGCTATTTTTGTCGCAAACTAACCAAGGTATGCCGACTCGGCGGAAACGGTGATTCATAGCGAGTGACCTTCTTACCTTAGTCGTGTTATCGCGTTGGTATCTTCTAGTTTCTTGCCGAATTTTGCTTTATTTTTTAAGCAAGCGATGATTAAGTTCATTAAACTTGATCATCACTTTTTTCAAAATTCAGCAGTGTTGTTTTTTGGCTATACCTATTTCGTCGTAAAGCATGCCTGATTTTCATCGGCTTAATAAAGATACTTCGTCGGTGTTTGATCAAATATCTCTGGAGATCGTAAGTAAACCTTAAGGAAAAAACTATGACCATATAAAATTGTAATTCCAAAAACTGCTTTCTAGCACTTTTTCTTTAACAAGCATCTGCTATTCGAGTTCAGTGTGATCCTTATTCTTTTTTGGTCAATTCTTTTGTAATTTTTCCAAGTTTCATATTGTTCTGTAAAACATTAAGCGACACTTTCCTTGCTGCAACTTTCTCTTCTCTAGCTGAATAAATGTTTGGATCAAATTGCCTCTGTAAACATAAAGCTTCTTCACGCTTGACTGAACCTACGAGACCTCTGCGTTCGGTTATCCTTTTTGTTATTTGGGTTGCATCTAGCGTTCCTCTTACAAACGGGTCTCAGATTTGGTCTTTCTTTGTGATAGCACACGTTGATCTTAGTATTTCCAGTTCAGTTGTTGTTTGGTCAGAGTTTCAAAGTTTGTAATCTGTATAAAGCTTCCATTTAAAAATACCAATTTTGGAAAATTGTTATGCAGAACTATAAAATGCGGTGCGCTTACAGAAAATACCCCTCACCAGAAAGAGGTACCCCTCCTTAGCGCATCAGAAATTCAGATCACTCCAATATTATGTTTCAGAATAGGCGTTTGCCACAACTGGTGTATCATGAAGCTGTAAAGGCGAAGGACTGCCTGGCGATTAAACTCTCTAAACTTTTCGTATCAAACTTTCTTTTTTGATGAGCACTAATTACCATGGCAGATAGTATTTCTTAAGCGAGGGAAATTTCGAGTCTCTACCAAAGCTCTGGCTTTTTGTTGTACAGAATGGGACTTCTAAGCTGGTTAACAAAACTGACATTGTAGTGGAATATTCTCGTTGATAGATTCTGCATCAGTTTAATTTATGTAAAATTTAAAATCAAAGAGTTCTATGAATTCTAACCTGTTTCGTTTTATTTTTAGAAGTAATTTCGAAAGTGTATAATCAGAAAGTAGCTTCATAGTAAAATAAAGCTGAGGACGCCAGGCTTCGCGAAATAAGGTCACCTCGTAAGCACATTTCATGACATTTCTTCTTTCTTGAAATCGATCAGACATCGGGTATCCAACTGAGCCATTATTTACCCATTCTTATGGATTTTTCTTGCACTTTTGCTTCGTCACCTCCAACTGACTTTCATTGTGTCCAGTGGCTGGAAAACATCCCATAGTTAGCGACAGTTGTAATTTTACTGTAATGGAAGTGTCTTAATCAAATAACTGGTCGCATGGTGCAATTTAAATGTATGTTTATTTATTTGCATGTGCTTTCATTATCTGCTGTTATTTCGAAAATTCATAGTGAGTGGTCGGTTGGGCGCCGCGGACTGATGTGAAAGATTCGGTACATAAAAGCCCGTATTGGCATTTGGACTATGTCCCTGCTGCTAATGGTTTTCTATGTCAAAATCTATACTTTTTCGCAGACCAGATTTGCTTGCGATCTTTATTCATTTGTAGCGGCATCGACGGATCTTTACATCCATTTCTCGGAAGGCGCCATGATAGTTTTTTTCTGGAATTGTTGGTATTCACGACTAAATAGCAGTTTCTCAAAAAGTTTTAGCTATATTAGCTAGATTTCCATAAAGTGTTACTGGTTTTCTGTCGTTTGTTCGCCTTACTCCTGTGTCTAGGCTCTGTGAAACAGCGCAGCTTCTGCGCAACGTCTTCAGGCGAACCGCTTCCGGCATAAGCCTCGGGCAAGAAATGCAACGTAAGTTTAAACTGAAGTTTTTGCTTTCGTTCCTCATAAATTTTGTTATTTTTCCTAGACGGCTTCGCATTCTCTCAAGAAGAGCATGGTTTTATTTCTCAGTCAGATATCATAAGGGCGTACGACTCTACAAAACCGAAGCCAGAAGGAAAATGATCACTTTTCGTTAGTCGTCTATTTTCTCGTGCTTTTGTTGTTTGTGTGCTTCTTTACGTCCGTTTCCAGAATTCACTGTCTCATTTGAATTAAAATTTGCGTAATATTGTTAAATTGATTAGTGAAATTTCAACGAGAGTTTTCCTATAAAGGCTAAACTCGTTGTTGATTATATAGTTTACCATCTTTCACTATGTGTTCCATAGTCAGTTATTTTCCACTGCTTGACCATCATCCTTGATTTATTGATGCCCGCTGGATAGGGAACGAAGTCGTAATTTGTGGCATGCTCTGCCTCATCCACGTAATTCTTCGGAAATTACTTATTTGGCCGAACGAACGGCGATGTCTATGGTTTGGATCCCATGGTAGGATTTTTACAGCAACTAATGTTTGGT